TTAGTTAAAATTTATTAAAATTAAAAAAATTGATAAATCTAATGAATTTTCTATAATTTTATAAATTTTAATAAAATTTAATTATTAAAAAAATATTAACCAAATATGTTAGAGAACGAGTTATATATTAACACTAGCTAGTTCTAAAATTGTTGTTTTCTACTAAAATACTTTAGCCGTCTTAATTGTTAAGTCCTTGACCCGATTAACATTTTTTTTTATCCTCTAAGAAGATCAAACATGAACGGGATCTTAATTCTTAAATTTTTAATTAGACTTGCACACAGTATAGAGTTTAGTCAAAGTATGGTAAGAAAAAACCTACAAGAATATATCAATTTGGTTTTCTCAACTTAGAATGAATTAAGTTAATTTAATATTGATATTTTTTATTTGTACATAATATTGATATTTATTTTAACAATAATGTTATATATTCTAACGATTTTTTCTATAAATCTTCCTACTATTTTATAAAAATAAATAAATATATTTTAATATATTGAAAATATAAAACACAGTAAATACTTATCATACAAGGAAAGTAAAATGATTAATAATGTGACACCCTTACTACCCCAATACATATATCGTAATAATGTAATTAAATTAAGAAAAATAAACTTTCAAAGTTGGTAAAAGGGTTTACATAAAACTTCATAACTGTTCTTTCTTCAATATCCAAAATAACTGGAAATAAAATGTAACACCCCGAATCTTCTATTAATACAATATTAATTATTATTTATTTTTATATTTATGAAGATTATTTTTTTATAGTTATTTTAGTTAATTAAAGGGGTCTTATAGAATATTGTAAAGGTTTGTAATAATTTAAATTATTTATAAAAAAATTAATTCTAGTTTTTTTTAGGCCCAGAACGGGTTGTTCTAAAAAGAAGAACGGGTTGTTCTCAAAAAGCGGAACGGGTATTTTATAACAACATTTATATATATAAAAAATTTGGAGGAAAAAATATATTACAAAAGTTGTTCCCTTTATGTTATTTATTTATAAATAGTAAGATAGATTTATAAATAATTTTCTATTATATCTTTTTTCATGTATAATACGATAGTTTCATAAAGAATATTTAATTTACAAAAACATTTTTTATAATGTATAAAAATTAATAAAATATTTTTTCTAATTTCTTTTATTTTGATATTTCACTAACATGCTAATTTAGGTTGGTACAAGTGATATGAGAGACTCACGTTGTTTAAATAAGTAGTCAAGGTACATTTTTTAACAAAATATTGTTTAAATTTTTTTATTAACATTAATTACCATAATTCTATAAATGATTTTTTTATAATAAATACATTATTTGAATTCATAAATGAAAACGTTTTAAATATTTTATTATCGTTAGTTAATACCATTCTAATATAAAAAAGAAAGTATGAAAAAGCATGCATTCCGTGGTGACAAAGTAATTGTGATATTCTTATTCTAGATCCTGGCATTAGTTTTAAGTAAGGAATTATTTTTGAAAATTGGTAGAATCAAAGAAAGGAATTACTTAAACTTGATGTGTATTGATAGAATAAAAAATTGAAGCATTCATTCTAAAGTTATAAATATTTCCACTTCACGGATATGAAATTATATTTCTTGGAGAGTCTCAAGCAGCTAAATTTAACTAAATTACTGATGGACAGCCATCATGCAGCTACACTACCATAATCCATTTCATTTTGAATTATTCAAATCCATACACATCATAAAAGCATATATATAGTTAGTTATTTAATTTCTATTAAACATACCATTTTCTGTCTCTAATTAGTACTATAATAATAAAGAAAATCTTGGTTATCTATGAATAAGATTCACAGTTGCATTATATTTGAATTAGTTTATATTATTTTTGACTACTATATGTATTGTTTTTGAGTCCTTGTAATAAAAACAGTTGAGTTGAGGTTTGATATATAAAAGCACATAAAGAGGAGTTTCTTCCATAAAAGCACATACCAACGACAAACTATATTCATATATATTTGCGGCTATGGATTTACCACTCGACGTTTGGGAAAGGAGTTTCTTCCATATGCTTCATGACACTATTGGCTTCTGCTTCGAGAAGGCGTATGACATATGGGTGACAAATATTTATCACTTTTTCTTCATACTATCACTACTCATTTTCGTTTTCCTACTATTGCAATACAACTTATTTTACTTTACATGTTTAGTAAACAAATCAAATCACAATGTTTTATTATAGTCACCAAATTAATGATTCTTAAATCTAGCACAAATTCAGAGTATGTTTCAGAGAGAGAGAGATTTTTATTTTAGTAAATATTTTTAATTTAATAATTTTAAAATAAAATATAAATAATAGATTAATTATTTGAGAATATTAAGTTTGTGAACAGTGTTAACAATACATTCTCTAACATACTCTTCTTAATATCATTTCTCATTGAATATATTTTATTGAAAACCAAAAATTAAGAAAGAGGGTCATTATATAGAATGAAAGACCCACCAATTTTTATATTTTTCATCAGTGTTAGTATTCTTTTAATTTATTATATTGTAAGTTGACAACATTAAATTTATATGACAGTATAAATTTACGTCCCCAATTAATTCTTATTATTTGTTTACATCCTAACAACCTTAAGAAAAATTGGCTTATTATGAAGAATTGCCTTGGATTATACAGGAAAGATCTTACTATCTTAAAAAAGTAAAAGATGCCACAATAAGAATGAAATTTCCGGAAACAAATACAGTGCATTGTGAAGACTTGCCCATTCTAAAGAGTTTTTCCTCAGGAGTCATTGTTGAATGGCCATACTTGGAGAATCTTATTTTGAACCATTGCCCTAACTTAAAGAAGTTTGGATTTAGAAAGATAAAAGAGTCACGATTAAAATCATTCATCATGGAAAATCAAGTGCAACATAATATTGATACACAAGTTACCAATTTTTTTGAATCATGGGTTAGTTCTCTATCAAAACACTATTTTGCCATAATAGACTAAAAACATTAAGCTTGTTTATGGTTATGCTTTTGCCTTCTTTAGTTGTGATTAACTACGATTTTCAAATCCAAACTTTTTTAATTAATTAAGTCCATTTATTTTTTAGATCAAGTGACTTTTGATCCTTTTATAAATATTGTTCTATTATAAGTCTTTAAATTCTCATTTCCTACTTAAATTCGTTATAAAAATTTAATACTATTAAATTGTTTTAAATCTTTCTCTGCTCAAAACTCGTTAACCAAAACATTAAATTTCAACCAAAATTGAAAAGTATCAAAAAATTTATTTGTCAAATTAAATCCTATTTTACAACTTTCAAAAAATTCTTCAAATTATCCTAAATTTAACACTTGAATTTTTTATCTTAAACTAAACATAAATTTCAAATATGTACATAAAGAATTTTTGATAAAAAAATTTTCATTTAAATTTAAAGTTTTGTAGACTTAATTACAAAAAATAGATTACCTTACATCTTTCAAGGTATTGGATATATAATTAGTGAGTCTTTTACACTGTTTGAACAATTTCCACTCCAGTTGCACAAAATGGTAACAAGTGTCAAAAAATTTACAGGATGATGAATTATAAAAAATTACTAAGTATGAAATTGGTGACAATGAGGAATTATGCAAGATATTAGATAATCTTCGACCATCGCATTTCACCAACTTGTTACTATTATGGGCAAAAAATTGCGATAACGTGTTGGTTGATTTTCTTGTTATTTTGATGAAGAGGTCAAATAAACTTGAAGTTATCAACATTCAACAATGCAAAAAGGGATGTTTGTTTTACATTCCTCTTGATCTTATCCTTGATGAAGATCAACATGGTATATATTTCACACAGATGAGGGAATTAAAATTAATAGAAATATATCAGCTAACAGAAATATGGTCTACGAATCCAACAAGATTTTTTGGCCTCGAAAATCTCCAATTGATACACATCAAAAGTTGCCCCTCTCTAATACTTCTATTCTATTATTCTACAACAGAGGAGCTCCACCAACTAAATGAATTAAAGTTAGAGGCATGTGAGTCATTAACAGATTTAGTTTATTCTTCTAGTGATAAGAGACCACCACCAAAGTTCCCATCACTAACCAAGGTAGAGTTGAAGTCTCTCTCGAGTTTGACTTGTTTCTACAATAGTGGAGTAGAAGTGCCAAGGCTCAAAACATTGACAATAGAAAAATGTCCTCAATTGACATCATTCACAAATGGGTTTGCAACCGCAAATGCATCATCCACAATTATTGATGAGAAGTCTTTCTTTGAGCTAAATGAACTTACATTACGTAGTTGTGGCAAGTTGGTTTATGTCATCTAAGACTTTACAAGAGTTAGGAAAATTGAAGAAACTCATTGTGAGTGATTGTATGGAATTGAAAATGTTATTCAACATTGATGGAACAATATCTCATTCAATTGAGCTCCTACAACAGTTAGATGAATTGATCTTGAATAATCTACCTAATTTAACTCAAATCATCAACGAAGAAATTGTCAAGCTCTATCAAGACCTGAAAATCCTACAAGTGAAGAATTGTGAGTCTCTTGAATGGTTGCCCATATCTCAAGTGCTAAAAAATATGGAAATTACAGATTGTTTGGCCTTGCATAAAATTATGATCATCCATGAAGAAGAAGGAAGGAGAGGGAAAACCACCTTTTCTCAGTTGAAGGATGTTTCCCTCGTAAATCTATTAAATCTCTCTATTGTCTTTCCTATTGTAGCTGAATTTCCATCCTTAGAAACACTGAAAATAGAAAATTGTCCTAGTTTGAAGACTTTTGTTGAAGAGTCTAATGAGGAGAAAGTTCATCCAGAATTAGATAATTCAAACTATTTCTTTCCAAATTCAGTAAGTTTCTTCACTTTAACATTTTAGAAATAATATTCATTATCGGGAGGGTCTATGTATACATAGTTTTTTTTATTCATCTTTGTTCCAAATCATTGCAAATTATTTTTTGTTCTTTGTAGTTGTCATTGGAAAAATTGAAGGTACTTTATGTAATGAATCAACCGGTTGAGGAGCTTTGGCACTACAATTGTCCTTCTGAATCATTTTGTGAGTTGGAAAATCTTACTTTGAGAAACAACAAAAAGTTATTGAGTGTCTTCTCCCCCGCCATGATAGTAAGATTCAACAAGCTAAAAAAATTGACTTTGGAAAAATGTGAATTATTGGCCGAGGTATTTATCCTTGAAGGTGACAAACCAAATCATGATAACCAAGAAATGCTTCCTCAACTAAGGGTGTTAGCAATGAGTAACCTAAGTAAATTGACATGTTTCTGGAACAAGGAACCTCAAGTTCCATTTTTCCTTAATTTGGTTTCACTTTTCATTATTCATTGTCATTGCCTCAAAAGCTTATTCTCACTTTCTCAGGCCCAAAATCTTAAAAAACTCAAAATACTCAGATTGTGTAATTGTGAGAAAGTAGAAGAGGTAATATCTAGTGATAAAGGTGAAAAGGTGGCTACCATTTTCCCTAAAATGAAATGTCTTGTGCTCAAGGATCTTCCAAAGCTTGTCAACTTTTGTCAGGAAGGAGGATGTTTTAATTGGCCTAACTTACAAACAGTGAGGGTGAACAATATTCCAAGTATAAAAACATTTTTGAGAGATGATCTTAATACACCATTGTTGAAATCAGTGTATATAACATTTGCTAAGAAACTTTGGCTTGGAAATTTGAACAAGACCATATCATATATGCACAACAATCCAGGTGTGTAAATTTTAATGTTATATGCCAAAAATTAAAAACTTGTAACATAATAGTGTTACTTTTACAACTTGTTTTATATACATGATACATATCATTTTTTTCCTAAAAGATATCTCTTGTACAAGATATATTATTAATTTAAATTGTTAGATGACAACAATTACCTTTTGATTATATTAAAATATTTTAAATTTAAAAAAAAATTGCTAATAATTTTTTAGGATTTTTTACTTTTCTATTTTACAAGGTCCTTTCAAACCTTGTTTTAAATCTATTAATTTTGATAAAAATGGTTCAGGATCCAATATGAGTTTATGTTTCTCATGATGTGACCATTAAAATCTTATTTTGATGAGTATTGCTACTCAAGAAGACCCCTTGACATCAAAGACAAAAATTTTCTAGTGGGTATTTAGTGGCATTCAGTTCAGCAAGTAAAATTATGAGTTAAATTATTGGTTTATTAACTTGATAAATTTGGTTTATCTTTTAATTTTTTTCAATATCAGGAATGACATTACAAGGAAGAATGATGGCATCCTTGCTAGCATTGATGGATTGATTGATCAATGTGAGGACACCTTGACTCCTTGGATCAAGTTCTTCAAAGGTTGCGTCTTGTTTGGAGAAGGAATATGGTCGAATGGATAAATATGGAGAGTGTGGGTGAAGTGTTTGATGAAAGGTTTGAGAGGGCACTCTAGGGTTTGGCTCACTTCAAGGTAGATGAAGGCCACTTCTAGGGTTTTTCTCTTAAGGTGGAGATAGGATGAGAGCTGGCCGAAAATAGCCAAGGTAACTAAGGATGATATAAAGGCACTCACATACATTTTGGTAGTTTGGAACGGTCTGTTCCAATTTCAGAATAGTCCGTTCCAAGCTACTAAATCACCCCTATACATTTATAAAAATTACCAAAATGCCCTTAATAAAATAAAATAAAAATGAAATAAAAACAGGGGTGTTACAATATACATTCAAATAAAATATGAGCACTTTGATTACTTTTAAGTTGTTGTTCAATTTTAACAAAAATTGAATTAAACATATAAAGTGATATGAACTTTCAATCTAATGGTTGGATTTACAAAATTCACATTTAATATAAAGTTATTGAGCGGTGTAATACGTAGTAAAAACAATATACAAACACTAGGAAAAAGCAAGTAAAGTGCCTCACAAATACAAAGGCAAAATAACCTATACAAAAGACTATGTATAAACTGTACATTATAAACAAGTAGAACTAAGGCCTTCTCTTCATGATAGAGCATTCCAAGTGAAGATTACCTTGGGCCTAACAAGACCATTAGTCTTCTCCACATCCAGCTCTTCCTGTATCCTTCTAGCTATAGCTCTAGTTACTGGGCCCTTGGCCCATGGTCTATCATCCCCTCCTTCCTGAGAAGGATTTGTCCTCAAATCTGTAGGTTCATCTTCCTCATCATTACCTGCAAAGGGAATAAGATCACTCACATTAAATGTGTTGCTTACTCCATAATCACTGGGAAGATCTAACCTGTAAGCATTATCATTGATTCTTTGGAGGACTTGGAAGGGACCATCTCCTCTTGGGTTGAGTTTAGACTTCTTAGAGAAAGAGTTCTCTACGGTTTTGGACTCTTGAGTTGAGAGATAAATCTGAAGATTGATTCTCATTTATGTCAAAAGTGTTTACAAGAGTGTAGAAAACAAATATATAGGATAAGGTAGCTTGTAGGAGAAGCTAACCTTAACCATGGTTCATTAGGAACCATGGTAAGGTGAACTTAACTCTCTACGGTTTAGCTTAGCTTGCAAGGGAAGCTAACCTTGACCATGGTTCACTTAAGAACCATGGTAAGGTGAGCTAACCTTGCTTGAGTTTAGAAACTTGCAAGACAAGCTTCCAAACTCAAGGAGAAGCACTTAGAGAATTCGGCCAAGGAGGAAGGAAGAGCTTAGGCGGCCATGGTTCAAAATGCTCCTTGATTTAATTTGAAAATCTTTGATTTGGTTTAGTTAGGTTCATCATATGATGATTAGACCTAGCTAAATCAAATCTATGAAAAATTAGGAGAAAAATGAGTCCAATATGCAAAATTTTGCCTAGGCCCAACTCAGGCCCAATTTCTAAGCACACCCTCAAGCATTGCTAAATGTCACCCCCTTTTTCCTACTGAAAAAAAAAACAAAATGAAAGTATCAACTAGAGAGGTTAAATGGAGCTAAACTCTCCAAGTAGCCTACCTCAAAAACAATATACAAACACTAGGAAAAAGCAAGTAAAGTGCCTCACAAATACAAAGGCAAAATAACCTATACAAAAGACTATGTATAAACTGTACATTATAAACAAGTAGAACTAAGGCCTTCTCTTCATGATAGAGCATTCCAAGTGAAGATTACCTTGGGCCTAACAAGACCATTAGTCTTCTCCACATCCAGCTCTTCCTGTATCCTTCTAGCTATAGCTCTAGTTACTGGGCCCTTGGCCCATGGTCTATCATCCCCTCCTTCCTGAGAAGGATTTGTCCTCAAATCTGTAGGTTCATCTTCCTCATCATTACCTGCAAAGGGAATAAGATCACTCACATTAAATGTGTTGCTTACTCCATAATCACTGGGAAGATCTAACCTGTAAGCATTATCATTGATTCTTTGGAGGACTTGGAAGGGACCATCTCCTCTTGGGTTGAGTTTTGACTTCCTTTGAGAAGGAAACCTTTCCTTCCTCAAATGAAGCCAAACCCAATCCCCTTCCTCAAAAATGAGGGTTTTCTTTCCCTTGCTTCTCTCTAAAGCAGTTCTCTCATTTTTTTGTTGTATATGAGCTTTAACCTTCTCATGTAATTTCTTCACAAATTCAGCCCTAGATACCCCTTCTTTATGAAAGTAATGAGAAGAATCTGGTAGGGGTATTAGGTCCAAAGGAGTGAGAGGGTTAAAACCATACACAACCTCAAAAGGTGAGATTTTGGTAGTCTTATGGACTACCCTGTTATAAGCAAATTCAATGTGGGGCAAGTACTCATCCCAAGACTTATGGTTACCTTTAAGGACTGCCCTTAACATTGTAGATAGGGATCTATTAACTACTT